TTCTTTAGCTTTTCTTTAACTCAGGAGGAGGAGGAAGATGGGTTAGGTTGAAAAAAAGCAAAGGAAGAAAGGGTGATGGAAAGAGCAAAAACAGCAGCTAAAGATCGGCGGCGAACGTGGCTGACTCGGTTGCTTTGTGGAGAGACGATAGCCGCATGGAGAGGAAGATAGTAAAGATTATGGTTTTACTGCTGTGATGATTCGCGCCGTCGTCGGAAAAGAAGAAGCGTCGCCGACAAGCTGTTAGTCGAATGGCCTCAACCAGGATCCACTGAGTTTTAGTCTCTCCCTGATGAAACGATGCCTAGATCCCTGATGTTGAGTCTGTTGGTGAGGCGGTGTTGAGCACGGACGGCGGAAAGCGGCGTGGGCCGGCAATCTTCCAGGAAAAAACGGCATCCAAAACGGAGGTCGGAGTGTGGCGGCGGACGGCTGGCGACGGCGGCAGACAACGAGTGGATGACGGAGTAGAGAATAATTTTCAAAAACACCTGGGCTTGTGAAATTTGAAATTTGAAATCTCCTGGGTTAGAGAGATGCATGCATCATGTACTTAGTTATGATTCAAGATTATTATAAATAACCTCTTTAAATTTATAATAATCTTAAATCATAACTAAGTAAATGATGCATGCATTTCATTCTCACAGCTTACTCAGCATATGAAATCCTTATACATTTTCTCAATTTCATGTTTCCAAAGATAACACAAGAAAATTTTAAAAATTGATTGCCCAAAGTATGTATTACATAGTTTTTTGAAAGATGATATTTGTAGTTTTAGGTGTTTATAGGGAATAAAGAGGTTAGAGTTAGTATAGCATTTTAATCCTTGATTCATTTTATTTGGAGTAGACATGCTATTGGAAATGCTGGAATCGACCCAAGTCTTGTGGAAATGTTATCTTTTATTGTCGATGAGTACTGTACGCCATGTGTTTATTTATTAGCTATATCATTTCAGGGACACTGAGAGTTTGGTGAGATTATCTTGTTTGGAAAATAAGTACTAGGATTTTAAAGAGGTTAGAGTTAGTATAGCATTTTAGTCCTTGATTCATTTTATTTGAAGTAGACATGCTAGTGGAAATGCTGTAACCGACTCGAGTCTTGTGGAAATGTTATCTTTTATTGTTGACGAGTACCATACGTCATATGTGTTTATTTATTAGCTATATCATTTCAGGGTCACTGGGAGTTTGGTGAGGTTATCTTGTTTGGAAAATAAGTACTAGGATTTTAAATTGTAGAAAATGTGGCAAATTATAGAGCAGGTATGGTGTTCTGAAGGTAAGCAATTAAATGGAGATTATTGGGGTTCCATGGAAAGCTTGACTCAGTTGTAAAGTGCCAAAACATTGGTGAAACTCTCTTTAGCCATGTATATAACTGGTAATACACATGCCAAGTTACTATCTTGCTTATATTGGACTATAAGTTTTGGTACATCTTGTTGACCAGTTGTTTTCATTGAAATCAGGTTGTGATGTGCCTAAGCTTGGGCCATTTAAGTTTTTTGGTTAATAAAATATTAGCTTTGATTAAGTAATGCCGGATATACATGTCACAAGATTGGAAGAATATGATCGATCGTACTTGGGTTTAATTGTATTTGTGCATTGTAACTCAATAAAACCAACTTGTAAAACCTCTTTATCCTAAAATAAAGAGCCAAGAAAAATGTTTTTCCTTGATGTATTTGTTTGGCAATGCAGGTTACTCGGAGATGGCTGCCGAAGCAGAGGAAGATTTCAATGTTAGTTAATCAAGTAATACTTCTTCAAAGAAAATTTACTTGTTGCAGCCCTACACTTGTGGCGCGAAATGATATTAAATATGCATTTAAACTTGCAAGGGAAGCAATAGTATCTCAGGTCTCTATTCCTTTAGAGCAAAATGAAAGCAAGACGGTGAAAGAGACTTGCGTTATCTGCTTAGAAGATGTTGATTCTGGGAGCATGTTTGCAGTCGATGGTTGCATGCATCGATACTGCTTTTCTTGTATGAAACAGCATGTGGAGGTGAAGTTGTTACATGGAATGGTACCCAAATGTCCTCATGAGGGCTGTAAGTCTGAGCTTATTGTTGACAGCTGCAGAAAATTCATGACCCCTAAAATGATTGAGACATTGAAACAACGAATGAAGGAGGCTTCAATTCCTGTCACAGAGAAAGTTTATTGCCCATATCCTAGGTGCTCAACCTTAATGTCGAGAAGCGAGGTTTCAGAATATGCTAAGGATGCACTTGTCGGAATTGAAATATCCAGCGCCAGAAAATGCCTTAAATGTCATGGCCTTTTCTGTATCAACTGCAAGGTTCCTTGGCACAGTAGCATGACATGTGAAGATTACAAAAGAAAGAATCCTCTTCCCGGAGCAGAAGATCTTAAGCTGAAGTCACTTGCGAGTATGAACTTGTGGCGCCAGTGTGTGAAGTGCAACCACATGATAGAACTTTCTGAGGGTTGCTACCACATGACTTGCAGGTATTTCATTTTGGTTATGGCTTTTTAGGTTCTTTTCTGTTATTTCTTTTGAAGTATTTGTCCCTACAAGGGATATCATCACGAGTCTCTTATGATTTTTCAACATTCAGCACCAGTGCCTTGAATACTTGTGTCTTGACTATGTCAGGACTATTCCCCCCCCCCCCAAAAAAAACAACAAAAACACACACACACATCCTGAAGGTTTCGGGTTTCCCATAGAATTGTCTTCGTGTTGGCAGCATGCATTCGTCGTATCCATAGCATTTCTGTGCTTATGGTTGCTTTGTTTTTGTAGATGTGGTAATGAGTTTTGCTATAATTGTGGTGCTGAGTGGAAGAACAAAAAGGCAACTTGTTCTTGTCCACTTTGGCGGGAGGATTTAATTTGGCAAGGAAACAGAGATTCTGATGAAGAGGAAGAAGACTCTGATGAAGAGGACTTCGACTATGACTGTGAGTGGCTGTTCATCAGATGACTCTACTTCTGTTTTTCACCATACTCCTCATCTCTCGGGCCAATCCCAAACATGGTGAATTATCTCACAGTTTATGTTTTGTACAGTTTTTTTTTTTTTTTTGGCATATGCATGTTTTTTATCCAGGATTTTGTTCCATTTGGAAGAATGTTTTACAGCTTGCATGTTTGGAAATGAATCCGACTTCCAGCCAATGGAATTCACAGTAAAAAAGAAAATCTCACTTGGTAAATTTGTTGGGTGATGATATGGTCCCCTCAGGTTGACTGTAAAGTGTAAAATGATTCCTCTAGTACATGAGCTAAGCTTGAAGATAAGTGAACAAGCACATGCTGTGGACAACTAAATAAATAAATCAGATGGAAGTCGGACAACGAATTTCTAATTTTTTTCTTAATCTAATTTATTTGCTTCTTATTGGTTTAAATTTTGGATCTGAGTAGATTATCTAATAAAATTCTGCAAAAAATAATGTAATTTTATAGAATAAGTTTTATTTTTATTTTGATTATCAGTTTTTCTTTAATAAAGTTATATATCTGATGTTAAATTTTTTTTATTTTTGATAATCATGTATTTTTTCCTCAAATATGCAATATGTGCTAGGGGTTAGAAATGTTTAACCGTTCTATTAAATTAATAAATCGGATATTTGTTACATAATTGATTAAAAATAATAATGTTTAAACTGAATTATAACTAAATTAGTTTAGATTTATTTTATAAAAATAAATTAACTATAACATAAATTATAATTTATGTTCGATTGTTTAAATTGGAAATTTTAATTATTTTATTTAAAATAAATGAAAATTATAAATTAAGAGAGAAAAATATAATGTAAACTATATCAGTAGCCATTTAATTATTGTTTTTTTTTCATTTTAACTGCTGATCTTTCATTTTTAATAATCAAACTATTTAATTTTTTAAGTGTTGCAATCAAGTCATCAATCGTTAGTGTTTAATAGAGGACCTGACGTGATTGTTAAAAATTAATATAAATATAAGTGGTTTATCCCTTTTGGTTTGAGTAAAGAATCGCATTTGGTGAGAGAATGATCATTGGACGATATTTAAAGGAAAAAGAGAGTAAATTATCACAATGATGAACAAGACAATAAAGAAGTAAAAAGGATGGACGGAATTAGGGGTGTAAACGAGCTGAGTCGAGTTTGAGTATTGCTGAGTTCGACTCGACTCGAAAACTCGCGAGCTTAAAATTTTCAAGTTCGACTCGAACTCGAAATCCTAAACTGAAGCTCGTGAGCAGCTCGAAAAGGCTCGAAATGAAAAAAAAAATTCTAAAACTTAACTCGATTGAAGCCTCAAACTCGAACATGAACCTTAAATATAAGATATCTTACTGTATTTTTTTATTAAAAAATTAATACATAAATATTAATATTATTAATAATTTATTTCTAAAAAAATAAAATTTTAATATATTAAATTTTCGAGCTGCTCACGAGCTTTTCGAGTCGAATATCGAGTAGCTCGTTTCGGCTCGTTAAGAACTCGAGTCGAGCTCGAGTCGAGTCGAGTCCATTCGATCTGAGTATTTATCGAGCCTTGATCAAGTCAATCTCGAGTAACTCGCGATCTGTCTCATCTCATTTACAGCCCTAGACGGAATTACAATCCTTTTCTCAAATATGTTAAAGAGTATTTAGTGTATATTTCAATTGTAAAATCATTATAGTTATTTGTATGTAGATAATTTAAATAAATTTTATAATTAAATTTTAATTTTTTCTCTAAATCACGTAAATCTATTAAAAATATTATCTGTGAATCTCGTCAGTGCATTTTAATCAATTAGAAACCTATGTTCAAGAGACATAAGCTAGTCAAAAAATTTAATCAATTAACGACCGAATTAATAGAAATGCGTGACTCAAGCCGAGCACACCCTCAACTAGTACCTGGCCGAGGATACGGGCCTTTGACGGGTCCATGAAAAAGGAAAAATGGGTCACGTGATAAAGCACATGCCATGTAGCTTCAGTTGTTTTGCCTTGTCTTGAACTAGGAAGTGAGAAAATTCCCAAATCTGATCATCTCCTTTCCGATTCCATTCGAAGAAGGTCGACGGCGAAATCAAGTTCACCAGTCATGAAAAAAGACTGTCGTTTCTCTGTTCTCCTCCTCCTATTCTTGATTTCAATATCCATTCAGACAGAAGCGGAAGTTATTGCCCTAACTCCCGACACCTTCTCCGACAAGGTAATCCAATACAATCTTATTCTCTCCCTTTATTCACCTCTAATCTCACAAATTTAATAATAATTATAAAGTTTTAGGGTTTTGAATTTCTTTTACTTGAATCGTTCTTTATGTGCCCCAAAATTTAACAATGACGTGAGGATTTCCGTTTCTTTTTTTAAATTTATTCCGCTAGAGAACTTGCTAAACATATTCTCTTTCTTAGTTAAGTTTTTTGTTAGAAGAATATTAACTTTGACATCAATTTTGAACTGCAAAACACAAAATCCACACGGAACGTGAATTTGGATTCTTTTTTCTGCGCATATCTTGTATTTTTGCGTATCTTTTTTTTTTCAGATAAAGGAGAAAGACACGGCTTGGTTTGTGAAGTTCTGTGTTCCTTGGTGTAAACACTGGTAATCATTTTCTGCCTGCTTTATCAAACTTGTTGGATTGAACTAGACCTCATCTGCCGTTGTGATTCGCTTACTGGTGATTATAATGTTTTTATTATTTTTATTTGTTCTTTTTCAGTAAGAACTTGGGGACATTGTGGGATGAGTTAGGAAAGGCAATGGAAGGAGAAGATGAAATAGAGATTGGAGAAGTTGATTGCAGTGTAAGCAAACCTGTATGCACTAAAGTAGATATCCATTCCTATCCCACGTTTAAGCTATTTTATGATGGCGAAGAAGTTCCTAAGTATCAAGGTAACATTGAAATTTCACTTGTTTCTGTTTTTAGTTGTTTTGTGCGAATCCGGAATTCCAATTCAAGCACAATATGCTCTCTGTTTTTATTTCTCGTGCCAACTTCTTTGTTTCTCTGGAAATTAAAGACGGAAAGGAAAAGCATATGTTTACTCATCTTATGCATGGCTTAAAGTCCATTCCGACCTGTTCTTAAATTAGCATCCATTGTATTAGGGACTGAATCAGGTTGCTTAATGTTTAGGTTGTTTGTATTTCTTTGAATATCTGATAATTATTAATGGTTATGATGTGAAATATCTGAACGTTTGTATTTATCAATAAACTCATTTCAAATGGGAATGGTCAAATCTCATTACTCAGTGTACACACTACACGGCTTTTCCTATCCATATGCACTATTTGTGAGTTTCTTTAATTTGAAAAAATTGACAATTTGAAATTTCAGAAAATTTACATTTTGCACTTCATTTTATATTCCTCAGCTTATATCAAGCAAGCATGTCTGTTTTATAGCCAAAATGCCATTGTAGAGCTCTACCCAGCAATTGGGAAAATTACTGAGCTTTTTGGGCCATCCTGCCTCTCAACATGACTAATCTTTGTTAAGGATATTTAATGTGGTATTGGGTTTTGTTATGATTTGCATAGGAATCAAAGAAGCCCGATTTTAGTTTACTAAACCGCTAGAATTTTCTTTTCCAATTTGAGCCATTTGATTGGACTTCAATTGAATATGAGTTTAAACCAGCAAGCAGAATAAATCTGTACCCTTTTTTTTATTGATCTTATTTTGTTGTATGCCACATCTTAGGTGTTTCGCCTTTCACCATAAATATATTTGGGTTTAACTTCAATGTGTGGTAATAAGCTTCAGTTAATAAAGATTTCAAAAGTCCAAGTTTCAGAACTATTTTTGGTGTTGAATTATTTTCCCTGCTGCATGTTATGCAAATGAGCAGGGAAAAGGGATGTTGAATCGCTAAAAGCATTTGCGTTGGAAGAAGCTGAGAAGGCAGCAGAAAAGGCACTGCTAGGCACTGATAAAGAGTTGTAATCATTCAAAAGGTAAGCACAGAAATCTCTTCATTTTGCTTATATGTTCCATGAAATAATTGGCCTGGAATATCTTATTAAGATTGACGAGGAAAGAAAGAGGAGAGATAAAAAAACAAGAATTGAAAATATATAAAGATGCTTCGATGAAACCAAAATCTTATGTAAAAAAGTGCAGCTAATAGTTTTGACAATATGCATGACCATCTAAGCTGCACACCACATAGAATCTGTTATTCATGCTTTCCTATTTTAGTTGCACAAGTACAGACGTGTAGAAAACAGAGTAAGTCTGTTATTTTATTCATATCTTCATTCAGTAGAACATATTACATATTTATATACAAATTATGCCTCTAAACTAGGAAATTCTAAGTTAGGAAAGATACTAATCCTAGGAGATGTAATCCCTTGAAATAAGGGATTGAAAAACAGAGAATAATTACAGAATCTCTTAAGGGATTGACAGCTCATTTCTATAATTTCTACAACCTTACATTACATAACCTACAACATGAAATCTCTTGCATTGGATGAAATTGCGAGTATATATAACATATATATGTATGTATACACACAACATGCTGTTTCTCAATTTCATTCCCACCCTGTTTTGTAATACCTTCTGTAATTCAGCATGTTCTCTGATTATTATTTGATTCATAATCATCGGTGAAGGTATGAAACTTCCAGCAGAATACAGGGTACTTGTGATTGTTCACGAGGGGGTGCTTAAATTTCGAAGACACCCCAACTTACACAAGTTCTTTGCCTCTCGGGATATTGTTACAATTATGATGCTTCTTATTTTTCTTTTAAATGCTTAAACTTGTCATGTAGGCATGTCAATCAATGGCCTTATTAGTGATGGTAACTGGTGAGTGCTTTATACACCGTTTGGCTGTTTTTGAATTAGTGATGCATGGTCTGAATATGAGAATTCCAAATCTTTTGATCTTAGTAGAACAAACCATTTTTTCCCTGGAAGGAAAAGAACAGCATTTAAAATTTTCATAATTTGATTTTGCGTTAATTTATAAGTACCTAAACTTTAATGTATGAAATGAGAAAATGATCATTGTTCATTATATTTTTAAGATGGCAAATTATAGATTTTTTTGTTATCTCAATTCATGAAATGTGTCTGGCAAGAAGTTAATTTTATGAAAATGCTTTCATTGAGAGGATTTATTTATAAAAATTATTTAATGCATGATTAATGTGATGATGTATATGCTGATTTAGTTTGATTGGTATTATTTTTAATAAATTATATACGGGGACGTGAGTTTGAGTATACTTCATTAGGATATATTAATTGACTAATTTAGATTGGGTAATATAGAGGTGGGTTTACCATCTCAATCCAGTCTGTTACATTTGCAAATGTTAAAATTCAAATAAACCTTTAATTTTATTTGATCTAATGTCTCATTTTACTAAATCAACTGTAACTGGATAGTATAACTTTAGTTTACTTTAATAGATGTATTTGTAAAAAGAAACATATATAGTTTTGTGTCGAGTAAAATAAAACAAGTATTTTTAACAAGAAATAATTACTAGGAAACATATAATATTATTAGTGAGTGGTGGCTAAAATTCTTTATTGGTATCTCAAAGATCATGGTTTAAATCCTGTTGGTGTAATCTTCTAACAAAGAAAAGAAAAGACATTTAGAATTTTATTTTGCCCAAATTAATGTTTTTAAACTCATTTTTATTGAAAATAAAACAGAAAATAAAGAAAATTGTAACACGATACAAAAAGCGTAATTAAAATATAATGAAGTGTGATAAAAGAATATGAATACAACATGCAATCGCAATTTTCCCAACTTACATTGTGGATACTTCTTATATTTTCCAAAAAGTTAACTAAATTTAAAAATTAAGTATCAAACATTAATTTTTTTAAAAAGCAAAAATCAAGCATTCTCTTAATATTTCTATAATGCTGAATATATATATATATATATATTGCGTGTGCGTGTAATATAACATTTCAGTGATATAATTAAGATTAAAACCAAAATTTAATGCTATAATTGGAGAACTTTAAGTGACAAATTATGTTACATGTGTTATTTGTATTAAAGTATCATGAAATCAAAGTGTAGATATCATAAGCTGTATTTATAATTTGATACGGGATATTAGAGCAGGTTATGTTGTATCATTGAGAATTTATAATTTATTTTTTTCCTTCATGCAATTGATGTATCAATTTGCGAATTTCAGTAGATAATGTGTGTTTTTTTTATTTATTTTATGCGACAAATTTCAATCGCTAATTGAGAAGTAAATACGGTGAATCCAGATTATGGGATCCAGGCGTGAAAGTATTAAGAAACAATGTGCTTCCTTGGACTGTTATGCATATTTGAGATATTAAAGTGTACAATGTTTTTTTAATGATCTATGTGAATTTTGTAATTCACTACATTAGTGATTGATTTGTACGGTACGACGATCTTTTTCTTTTTTAATGCCATTGAATTTGATACTATGAACGTATTTATATGTCATTGTTTTTATAAAAAATTTACATGTTCTGGTGGATTTGTCGATTCGTTTAAATGATTTTTATCTTTAGAATCCAAACCTTCTAATCTTGCGTATTCGGCTTGTATTGTCGTGATTCACATTAGTTGAAAACTGTTTTTTTTTTTGTAAAGATTCTTTTGATAATGTTATGGATTCTTTGCTTTGCATGATTATACTTAGTTGCCTCCAATAATATTGTGATGATATCTAATCTATTACATCTCTTTTTTTTCATCATTGTTTATTTGGGGATTTAAAATCATTTACTGTCGACACTAGATAAATCGACAATTGGATGTCGAAAGAGGAGAAGTATACTCTCAAAATTAAGTCATAAATTAAATTGCATGTTTAAGGAATTCTTCAGAAACAATCAAAGACTTGAGTTTTTTTTTATTTTTGATAGCACCATTTAGGTAACCTTATATTGGGTTATTTTGGATATTGTAGTGCAATCAGAAATTTCAGTTTTTAACCTTTGATTGTTATAGAAATATTAAATTTGAATACTAATTCTTAGACGATTTAATTAAAGTAATAAGTCGTTAAAGTAACCCTAGTAATGAAAAATATTTTATTTTAAAATATGAAGGGTTATGTGCATGTAACTTAGGATATATTAGTATTGATCGGCCCAAAGGAAGATTAATAGTTGACATAATCGCATGTACAACTTTGGTAATAAGCATGTGATAATTATTCTGTTTGATTTGTGAGTAATAAATCGACCTAAAGGAAGATTTTTGCTTGACATGTTCTTATTATCAATGTTTAATTATCGTATCAGATATTACTTAAGGTGAATATTTTGTCTAAAGATGAAATATTAATGGAGTATTTGATATCTCGAGATAAAGTTTAAGTGTATTCAAATTTATTATTATTTTGGTTATCTTTTAATTTAATTAAAAGATAAAATTAAGAGAAATTGATTGGTTGACAATATTTATATGGTTTTATTTATTATTAATGCAATATATGTATATATTCAATTCGGCTTTTCAGTTTTGATAGTTGATTATTAGAATATATATATTTTGAAACAAATTAATTCATATTTTGGCTAAGTCTGATATTTTAGTAGATTTGTTGAAACAAAATGTTGTCAAAGTTGCATTTTTTTGTATAGATTGATTTATTTAAAATATCAAGATGATTATATGTTTCTTGTGATTCATGAGTTTATTAATTGACCCAAAGTAAAGTTTATATTTGGCCGAATTTCAAGCGACACCTGTGGTATTAACATGTGACAATTATAAAGTATTTTTATGTGAGCATTACATTAGTTCAAAGATTAATCTTTTGTTCGACATAGCTTATTGTTAGTGTTTGATTACAACAACAAGAGTATTGTTTACTATTAATATTACAGTCCAAAGACTTGATATTAGTGTAGTGTTTGGTATCTTGTGATAGGAATTAACCATAATTTTGAATTTTTTGTTTACTTAAGATGCGAGCATCAATTTTATTTATGTTTTTGTTATGTATTCAATTAATTATTTATTTATTTCTACCATAATTTAAGCTATTATACATTTTTTGATTATGCTTAAGAAAACAAATCTCAAGGAATGAGAAAATACAATTACATAAGTTTTTGGTTGTTTGAACATACACTTTACACTGAGGAAAGAACAATTTTCACCTTTCATGGGGGATAACGTCCTTAATTGGATTTTGAGAGGTGAAATTTGTTCAAATTGCATAAGTTTAATGGTCATGAAATACAATATTTTTAGAAGCCTTCAGGGGCACGTAATCTGAAAAGATTACTGAGCCTATGGTTTCCTCGACGAAATTGAGAAATATTTTCCCAAAAACAATAAGGCTTAAATGACATATTTGATGTCAATAAAGTATAAAGGTTAAGGAAATCTGAGAGAGTACATTATGGATATGTTTCATATTGCTTCAAGACTTAAGAAACTTAAGATCAAGTTTTACTGAAGAATTACTTGTTCTTGTGATTTCAGCATAGCTTCCTATAAAGTTTAATCAACTCAAAGTGAGAAATGAGCTCATTTTTCATTATGTGAAAGAGGAAGAAAGGTTGAAGCATAATATGTTTGAAAGTACTCACTTGAAAAGTGCATATAAAGATAAAGGGAAAAAAATAAAACTAGAATGTAGTTGATAAGGGTTCAACTCAAAAGAGATAACAATATGTTACAAAGGGTTCTCTTTTGAGATAAGTTAGGACAAATAAGAAGGAATTGAATTCTAAAAACATTAAGCAACTACTTTGGTTATTCTACGTGATTTAAGGATTATAAGTTTTATGATCTCATAATTAGGAATATTTTTATAGTGGGATCTATAACATTTTTTTAGGATGCTGAGTTAGGAGGGAGAAATAAGGTTTAAGGAATTAATTTTGAGGATAAATTGGATTATAACTCAATTCATATTATCACTTTTGATGATATCCATGTGTTCATACATGTCGTTAATCAAGAAGTGAATCTAGATTAACCCCAACAAGGTTATTTTGAACAACTCTCTATTTAAGATGAGAAATTATTCTGGAAGAACAAACTCAAAAACATCAAAGAACAAGTTTCATTAAGAAGATCCACGAGATGAGAGAAATGTTATTTATATTACCATGTTGTATTTCTCCAAGAAATACGGATGATAGTGAAATGATAGAGGCTGATCTAATCAACTTTCGTCATGTCATAAAAGTTTTGATGGTTGAAAATGGATATTTAAAATCAAGATGGATGCAAATGGTGATTTTGACAAGTATAAGACATGTCTTGCATCTAAAGGATATACTTATAAAGAAGGCATTGATTTTGTAGAGACATTCTCTTTGGTTTCATTGAAAGACTCTTTTAGGATAATCACGATACTTGTTGCTCATATTTAATCTTGAGTTACATAAGTTGGATTTCAAAATGATAACATTGATGAGACGTTTTAAGGTGCAATAAGAAAATTGTGTCTGGTGATACAAAATTAAAGATATGCAAATTAGGAAAATCCATTTATGAGTTTAAGTATGACTCTCGTTAATTGTATAACAAATTTCACCAAGTGATTATCTCATTTGGTTTTAAGATGAATTTGGTTGACAATTGTATATACTATAAGTTCAGTGGGAATAAACCAAATGATACCCCTTATTGCTAAAGAAAACAAGTTTAGTCTTGATGAGTGCTCTAAGAATGATTTTGAAACTAAGAGAATATTAAAAGTTCCTTATGCTTCAAAAATAAATGAGGAGTTTAATGTATTCTCAGGTTTATACGCATTCGGACATAGCGTGTGACTTTAGGATATTAAGCAAGCATTTAAGCAATTTGGGTATGAATCGTTGGATAACAGTTAAATTGATTTATATAATACATAACAAAAATGTTACATGCTCATATATCGGAGGTCTAGTAAGTAAAAGATCATCATGTTTATGAATTCCATTTTATTGAAATATGGATGCAAAATTTTGTCACATA